CGTGGGGGGGGTGGCCCCAGCCGAGGGGCCGGGCTCGGGAGGCTCCGGCGCGGGCCAGCAGACCGGGGCTGGATGCCGGCACCATCCCTGTGCTGTTCTTCTCTGCACTACTCATCACTCTGGGGTCCCCTGCTAGGAACTGGTGCAGGCTCATTACGGGGCCGCTTTGGCGCAAGCCGGGCCACGGCCCCAGCCGAGGGGCCGGGCTCGGGAGGCTCCGGCGCGGGCCAGCAGACCGGGGCTGGATGCCGGCACCATCCCTGTGCTGTTCTTCTCTGCACTACTCATCACTCTGGGGTCCCCTGCTAGGAACTGGTGCAGGCTCATTACGGGGCCGCTTTGGCGCAAGCCGGGCCACGGTGCTGAGTCGCGGGAAGGGAGCGAGGTGGAGGCAGCTCTGCCTGTCCATCCGCAGGCGGGGCCTGAGCGGGGGGGGTGAGGGCGGGGGAGCCGGCAGCCCACCCCAGACCCCCTGCCCGGAGCTCTGGCGCCGCTCAGCCAGGCCCTTTTGTCGCGCAGGGGAACTCGCTTCTGTGCCTGCCCAACGTCCTCAAGGTGTACCTGGAGAACGGGCAGACCAAGGCTTTCCGCTTCGACGCCACCACTACGGTGAAGGTATCGGGCTGACTGGCGCTCCGGGGCGAGCGGATGGGGGCTGGACAGTGGGCTGTGGGCTTTTATTGCCCGAGGCTTTGGGGCCACCCAGCACCTAGCCCGACGGCAGGGGAGCTGCAGGGGCCGGGCGGTTTGCACATGGAGCCGCTCAGGTGCCAAGCACAGGGGTGCAGCGGGGACGGGAGCGCACGGGGACTTTGGGCAGGGGGCGGCTGGTGGGCCTCATCCAGCGAGCTGCAGGGGCAGGGCTTGCTCCACCCAGGCAGTGTTTCTTAAACTGTGCTCCCGAGGCAGTCGCAGGTGTGCTGCGGAGAACAGAATTCAAAATGGCCGCCCTTAAAGGGGCAGGTGACCTTTTTCTTTCCCTCAACAAAATCCTTGGTGTTCCTCATAAAAAAAAATTGTTTGGTGTTCCTCGGTCTTAAAAAGTTTAAGAAACACTGGCCCGGTGGTGCTGCACTCTGGGGGCCCACAGGGCAGAGGGGAAGTGTCAGGCAGGCAGAGGGTGTGACCCTGCGGAGCTGGCGCCGGCGCCTCTTGGTCCCCATGCCCGGGGCAGACTGACAGGCGCCTCCCTTGGCAGGACATACTGCTGACGCTGAAGGAGAAGCTGTCCATCCACTGCATCGAGCACTTCGCCCTGGCCCTGGAGGAGCAGTACAACATCGCCAAGGTGTACCTGCTACACGAAGAGGAGCTCATCGAGCAGGTCAGTGCAGCCCGTCCCCGAACACAGCCTGGCCCAGCGCGGGCATCTCCTGGTGCAGGCTGAATGCAGGAGGGGAGGGAGCGTTGGTGGCAGGAAGGGGATGGAGGGAGATTGGGGGGAGAGGGGTGGGGAAGTCACTAGCTGAGTGCCAGACCTAACTGCAGCTGAGTGCGCTCAGTAGGGACGGCACAGCCGCCTGGCCTGGCTGCCGTCGCTGGCCTGGCGATGTCTCAGAAATAGCCCTGCCCGAGCGTGAGCACTCCAGGCACCTCGCTCCAGGCCTGCCGCCCGCAACAGGGTCCCTGTTTACTTGGTACTTCCTGTCCCTCACTGTGCTCAGCTGTTGACCAGCCGTCCTCACGCCCTGGCGGGAGCAAGAGGTAGGGCAGGGTATGGAGCATTGCTCCTGCACTGGGCTGTGCTTATGCCACGGAGACCGGGGTCCTTGGGCCAGCCTGTGGTTGCCCCAGGCGTCTGCCATGCTACAAGAGCGCCGTTGGCTTAGGACTAGGGCTGGCGGCCGAGTGGCCCCGACTTCCCTTGGCTTGAAACCTCCTGCGGCT